CGCCCGCACACACGGGAGTCAGGCAAGACACAGGAGTGCCTTTGTGGCTTGGGTTTCCTCATCCGCAAAATGCCTCCATCTGTGCTGAGCCCTGTCATTACCTCATGATCTCGTCAGCAGGACAGAGGGACAACAAAAACCAAGCAGGAAGTGTCCTCTAGGCCAGCTTCTGGAAGCAGCTTCCAAGATGACCTCCACCTCCCGGCCTGGTATTCACACCTCTCTGGTCCCCTCCCACACTCATCGTGGTCATCCTGTGCGGCCAGTGAAAGGCGGTGGGAGTGAAGCATGTGACTGCCAGGGCTAAGTCATGGCTCCTACTTGGGTCTCTTTCATCATTTGCCTTGGAGGAAACCAGATGCCATGTTGTGGGACCGCCCTCTGGAGAGGCCCATGTGGCAAGGAACCGAGGCCTCAGCCAGCTGCCATTCAAGAGAGTCATCTCCTCTGCTCTTTAGTTCCCAGGCTTCACCACTCATGGCTACAGACAAAGACTCCCTGGCACAACGTACCCCCGGCTCACCCATGTCCATGGAGAGAGGTCTTCCTCTAAGGTGACCAGAACAGTCCTGACCTAACATCCAATCCCTGAGCAAAACCCTTCTGTTCTGTGCATCTCCTCTCTGGACCTCAGCCTCCTAGGCCTGCCGTTCCTTTCCCACAGGTGTAGCAGTGTTCCTTTCCTCATGAGGTATGCCTGTTCTCTTCTCCTTCCTGCATTCTCAGTCCCTGTGTCTGGACTAGTCTGGACAGCGAACTGTAATATATGTGTCGCTTCTGAAGCGCAGCTGTCAGCTGGGTGCCTTGGTTCCTGTAATCCCAGTGGCTTGGGAGGCTGAGGCAGGAGGATTGCAAGTAGAGGCCAGCATCAGCAATTTAGCAGGCCCTAAGCAACTCAGTGAAACCCTGTCTCAAAAAACTAAAAAGAGCTGGGGATGTAGCTCAGTGGTAAAGTGCTCTTGGGTTAAATCCCCAGCACCAAACGGAAAAACAAAACAAACAAACAAACAAACAAAAAGAAATGTAGATGGCACCTGGTTCTCTAAGTGCTCTTTCCCTGTCATAGGAAGTGTGGAGTGCAACAAGATCAAAGCGGCCTGGATTGCTAAGTGGCCTTAAGGTGTTGTTCCACGCCAGGGAGGACTCTGTGTGAATAGAAAATAAGTGTGCTAAGTCACAGACAGGGCAGCACTGTGTGTGCAGACAAACTCCCTGTCCGACTGAGGCGGCACCCTTCTGCCTCGCGGACAGCCTGAAGCCCAGCTACCAACCGTGCCTTCCTTGTGGAGTGGCCCACAGATCTCCAGACTTGGCACAGTTCAGCTCCTACTTCGGCCACTTACAGCTGCGTGGCCTTCGCTAGTCACCATCTCTCTGGCTACTGTTTCTGTACCACAGAGCTAACAGCTGTCTGCTTCCAACCCCAGCCTGTCCTCCTGTCCATCTTCCCATCTTCCGCCCTGTTCTGATCATCTAACACCTAGCGATTCTCAACTGCTCATCATGTAAGATGCAGATTCTCTGGTTCCCAAGGCCTTCAAAGAGCCAATGCAGAGCAGGGATGGTGGTGCTGTAATCCCAACCACTCAGGAGGCTGAGGCAGGAGGATCCCAAGTTCGAGGGCAGCCTCAGCAACTTAATGAAATCCTGTCTCAAAATAAAAATTAAATGGGCTGGGGAGGTAGCTCAGTTGGTAGAGTGCTTGCCTTGCATGCACAAAGCCCTGGGTTAAAAAACCAAAAACGTGCTGGGCTGCAGTGGCACAGGCCTGTAACCCCAGCGGCTCAGGAGGCAGAGGCAAGAGGAACACAAGTTCAAAGCCAGCCTCAGCAATTTAGCGAGGCACTAAGCAACTCAGTGAGACCCTGTATCTAATAAAATAGAAAACAGGGCTGGGGATGTGGCTCAGTGGTTGAGTGCCCCTGAGTTCAATCCCAGGTACC